CAGACCCAGGTCTAAGCTGTTGTGCTTTAATGTGTTTAATCCTCACATCTACCCTATGAAGCGGGAACTATTTTCTATGGTTATAAGGTTACTAGGTTCATAAACCAAGGAACCTAGATCTAGTTTACATGGATTTTAGTGAGGCATATAATAAAATCTCTCTTCACATCCTTTAGACAAGATGGATGGTTATAGGCTGAATGTCCTGCATTTAGAGTCACAAGTAATTATAAGATTATGTGCTGCAAAAGCCAGGTAAATGCTCATAGATTTGACCCAATGTGTCTCTTTCTGGGATTGTATTTTAAGAAAACAGTCAAAATTTGGGAGACCTAAATATTGTGCCAATATTAGATTACAAAATAATATACATATATTTTATTTATATTTATTTATATTTAATGTATACTTAATATATATATTTATTTACCCAATTATATATGGTTTTCCATAGCTTAATGAAAGTTATCTTGATTTTTTTAAAAATATAAAAATTATGTAATTTCCAAAAATTTAAAAAAAAAACCCTCTCTATCGATAGTGAGGACCATGGAGTTATTCTGATTGTGAACACAGTGGTGTGGGGAGAAGTGATGGGGTTGGAAGCAGGAAAGTCACTGCAGTAATTCAAATATAAGAACCAGGGGGTTAGAGTGGACTAGGGCAGGGTGACAAAAGAGGTGGGCAGATTCAGCTGGGTCACCATAGGCTGAGAACTTACTGGCTAAAGAAGTGCAGAGGAGGGCACCCCTCACCCAAGACTTGGGGAGCAGGATGATTAGGTACCATGTAAGGAAATGGAGCTGGGGAATCCGGGTTGAGTACAAAGTGGACAAGTCTATTAGGCAAAGGGAGAGAAAAAACAAGATCTCAAGGACAGAGTCAGGGTGAGCAGCTAACTAAGGATTTTGGAATTGACCACATCCAGCAGGAGATTTTTGAGGAAGGAAATGTAAAAGAAGGCTTTGGTTCTGAGCCTTAGAGAACATGGTAGTTAGAAGGCACCAGGTGGGTAAGACTTGATCTGAAAAGCTGTAGGGAGCCATTGCAGATTCTTGTGCAGAGGAGTGACTGACCCCGAAATCCCAGTCTCTCAGAGGCAGAAAGGAACTCCCAGATCCTTGGACCCAGCTCTTGTCCTATATTTGAGGATCACATTCCTAAAAAGCAGCCCAACACACCTTGTGGGCAGGGACATCTCTAGGGAAGGAGGACACATTCTTTCCTGGTGGCAGTGTCTGACAGCCTCCCTTGCCTGTGATTAGACAGCTGATCCTGTGAGAAGGCTCTTTAGGTGATGAGGTGAGTGGCCTCCTTCAGCTTCACCTTCTTGGCCTTTGCATCCTGCCTTGAGAGCATCCCCATCTGTACAGCAGAGAATCAGAGCATCTGGTCATGGTCCTGAGTCCTCCAGGGTTACTGAGGACATGGCTTCCTGGCTCTTCTGCCCACCAGTGCAACGGCTGTGCACTCTGACAAGGAAGAGTGAGGCAGACCTGGCGAGGGTTGGTCACCTCTGAATTCTGAATTCCTACATCGTTTCATTTAACCTTCCTGTCCCTTGGGAACTAAGGCTCATCCCCTTTGCAAAGAAGAGGAAGCCGAATCTCCAAGATTACACCAGCAGTGAGGATAGAGCAGGGTTTGGACGGGGTTCACCTCCAGGACCTCATTGCTCTCACAGCAGCCTGGGCCTATGAAGGGGCCATGTGGGAGGTTGGTGACCTGTGACCGAGAAGAGCATAGTGGTGGGTTTTACATGAAGTACATGGAGCGGGGGGTCTTCCTCATACTTCCAGGAGTTCCCCTGCCAGGAGGGTCTCCTTCATGGCCACCATGCTGGCTGACTGTAGACAACAGGACAGCACACTGCCACCTACAGTCAGAGCACCCTTTGCCTCCTTATGAGCAGGACACACAAACTCTTCCAAGGCTTGACCCCAGTGGCTGCTTTTCCAGACTCCTCTCTCCAGCTCCTGGAGCAGGGTGAGGGAAAGCATGTCAGGGCTGAGAGGCTCACCACTAATCCTAGACACACATGAGCCAATCTGAGGGTGGTTAGGAGCCATCGGGGCTCTGAAGTCAGCATGCCTGGGTTTGAATTGGGCTCTGCCGCTAGTAAATTGTGTATAAGTGACTTACTCTATCAGGTAATAATAATATTGGAGTCATGAATTGTCATGAAGTTTCAAGGAACTACTACCATCACTCACACTTAATGACGGGGATATGTTCTGAGAAATGCATCATTAGGCCATTGTGGGACTATCAGAGAGCACTGACACAGACCTGGATGGTATAGCCTAGTACATACCTAGGTTACATGGTACAGCCTATTGCTCCTGGGCTACAGCCTGTACAGCATGTCACTGTGCAAAACAGCACGATTAAATCAGGTATGAGAAAATGCTGCAATCAAGAGACGCAGTAAACTCAAGACATATGAGTCTGCTGCCAGCGAAATATGACATACTATTTTACAGCCAACTTTTTTATAAGTAGAAAGAGTATACCCTAAAATAATGATTAATAATGTAGTGATACATAACCCGTAACACAGTTATTATCATTATTAAATATTATGCACTGTACATAATGGTATGCGCTACACTTTTATACGACTGGCAGCGCAGTTCTTCCCCTCGCAGCAGACTGGATGCTTGTTTGTTTAAACCAGCATCACCACAAACACATGAGGAATGAGTTGCACTACAATGCTAGGATGGCTATGATGTCACTAGGCGATAGGAATTTTTCAGCTCCATTATAGTCATATGGAACCACTGTTGTATATGTGGGTTCGTCACTGACTGAAATGTTATGAGGTGCATGGCTGTATATGTAAACCCTTGGAACAGTGCCTGGCACATGGTAAATACTCACTATGTAACTATATCAGAAGACATCACCCTTATTTATTACTCTTAAACTGGGGGACACAGACCAAGCAGAGCGGAATCAATACCTACAGTTAAACAGGTGTTGGAGCACCAAAAGTGAAAGATCACTGATATACTGAAACCACCTCTCAGCTTCACAGCTGGAGACACAAGAGGAGTGACAGAGCCTGTGACAAACTGGAAAGCCAGTGCCCTTCCAAAGAAGGAAGCTCCTGTTCACCAGTTGTTGCCATGTGATAATTTGGGTTATGTTGCCACATCCTTGGATTTTCCAAAGCAGGAAATTTGTGTTTTTATATGAAATGTACTAATTTTTAAATGTAGCCATGAATTCAGTTTAAAACAAAACAAGACAAAGCCGTGTACGCCAAATTAAACTCTTCTGTTAGCATCTAGGGTGCAGCTTTCCTAGACTCGCTGTCCCAGGGCCAGCTCAGGCTTTTACAACTCCTGAAGGGCCAGAGAGACTAGTGAGGGCTGGATCTGACCCCAAGTCTCTCTGATCCTGAGTTGTCCCGCTTTTCACCTGTTTCTCAAAGAGAGGGGTGGGAGAGTGAGAGTGCCTGTGAGCACAGATTCTGCAGCATGTACCAGCAGTGGAGGCTCTGCCCAAGTATGCCCCATCTGTCCTGCCTTGGGACTCATCCCAAGACAGGTGGGATAATGCATGACTTCACTCCATGCATTGAGCGAACTTAGCACCTGCTACATGCCAGTCACTGTTCTAGGTGCTGGGGAGACAGCAGTGAGTACAAGTGGCCGAGCCCCTGCCCTGATGGAGCCAACATTAACATGATCCACAGAAGGGGCGACCAGAGGCAGGTGGTAAACACGTAGATATTCTATCAGAGGTGAGAAACAGAGTAGGGTGAAGGGGGACCAGGAGGAGCAAAGCCCCTGAGGTCAGTGAGGTATCTAAGGTGACAGAAGCCAGGGATAAGATGGAGACGTGCTCAGATAGGAAGGAGGGTGAGGATGACAGCACTGTGATATGAGCAGAGGCAGGCCCAGCAGGGTCCTCTTCTTCTGGCGGCCACTGTGAATCCCAGACGTAGGCCCAGAAGAGCTGCATCCTCTTTAGTAATTTCTGACATGTGGTTTGTTCTTCCCCCTCAACTCCCTCACATCTCTGGACAGGCCGTGCACATTCTCCTGTACTTCCTTTGTGTCTATAACACACACACACACACACACACACACAATCAAACTTCTTGAGGGTAGAAAGCCCAATTCTTGTCCAACTCTGAGGTGTTCCCACCTCTGTTCCCCACAGTGCCCAGAATAACAGGATTCAATATAAAAATGTGTTAAATTGAAATAATGACATGGCCTTAAGCACCTTACCTCGCTTCTCACACCTTGGTTTCCTCCTGTAAAGTGGGGATAATATACCATCCTACCTCAACAGACTGTTGTGAGGAGGAAATGAGACAAAGGCCATAAAAATTGGGAATCCAGATAACCTGGGCCTTGGGAGGCCACCAGTGTTCCCGGGTTTTAAAGGTTTCTCTTGCTGTGAGCTGGTGCCTCCCAAGCTGCTGGGAAAGGCTCTTGCCCTACTCGATCAGGGAAGCCCCACTGACTTCCCTCCCGCCACTATGGGGCCTCAGTTTCCTCCTCTGAGGGGAGCAAATGAAGAGGGGCCAGTACACACTTCCCAGGGAGGCTGGGGCCAGGAGCATAGGCCGCCACAAATTTCCCCTCAGCTCAAACTTTTGCCATGACTTACTATTTTATTTTGGCCATTTTTAGTCCATAGGACGTTCTCTCTCAGATCTGCCCTGCCAGCCCCTGTTTCTCCCCCACAACCAAGGCATCCGAGCCCTATCTCTGGGTCTGAGTCCCAATAAAGCCAGGCCCCAGGGGACCAGTATCCACCGATATGGCTTTTCTGGAGCTGCTGGCAGAGCCCCTGAGAGTGGCCAGAAATCCAGAGACCCTCACTGGCGTCTGGGTTCCCCGGAGAATCTGCTTCCACTGGAGACAGACAGAGGGGCATCGTCTCAGCCACCTCCCTGCTCCCGTCCTTTTTTTTCTTTCCCCAGGTTGTGGGAGACAAAGGGTTAAATCCCATAGAGCTGATGCTCTGACTCCAGGCTAGAGGGGCCCGGGAAGCTGGGGTCACTTCCTGCTCCGTCCCAGTCACCCTGAACTGGTCCCCGGGTCCTCAGCCTGGGATCACCCCTTGAGAAGGACCCCAGAGTCCTCGGCATCTAGCCCGTGCCCCCCTCCCCAGAGGCAGGGCATTCAAGGGGTTAAGTCCCCTGGGGCTGGATTCTGCCTTCCGCCTTTCCCAGACCCCAAAGCCGTGAGTTGGGGACGCCTGGGTTCCTGAGGGGTGGCCCGAAGGGCCTGGGACAGCGGCCGGGGAACAATGGGGGAGGCGGGCG